TTCAGGAAATTTATTCCATCTTATTCCACTATTGCAAAACCACTTAGCGACATGCTTAGGAAAAACGTTCCGTTTGAATGGGGAGAAAAACAACACGAGGCATTTCTAATGTTAAAAGAATTATTAACGAGTTACCCAGTTTTACATATTTTTCAAAGAGGACTACCAACTGAATTGCACACGGATGCTAGCATGTATGGCAATGGAGCGTGCCTAATGCAAAAAGCCAACGAAGACGCTAAGTTGCATCCGGTTTACTATTTGAGTAAGAAGACAACACCAGCCGAGGAAAAGTATACTTCCTATGAATTAGAAGTTTTAGCCATCATAACAGCAGTGAAGAAGTTTCGAATCTATCTAATGGGGTCCAAGTTCAAAATAGTGACGGATTGCTCCGCCTTTTAGAAAACTATGCAGAAAAAGGATTTAACGACGAGGGTAGCAAGGTGGGCACTGCTGCTAGAAGATTATGACTACGAAATTGAACACCGTAGGGGTAGTCGAATGGCTCATGTTGACGCCTTAAGTAGGTATCCGGTGGTAATGACCATGACCACAGAAGACGGCGTAATCCAAAGAGTAAAAAAGGCACAGGATGGCGATGACAGGATAGTTACGATCAAAAAATTATTAACAGCAGGTCAACAGCATGAAGATCATCTGATTAAGAATGGCATTTTATATAAGTACGAAAATGGCTTAGAACTATTAGTGGTGCCTAAGGCCATGCAGACTGAAATTATTAGAGCCGCACATGAAGATGGTCACTTTGCAGTAAAGAAAACAGAAGAGTTGCTAAAACAAAACTATTACATTCCCAAAATGACGAATAAGATACAAAATGTTATAACAAACTGTGTTCCATGCATTCTTGGTAACAGAAAGGAAGGAAAAGGAGAGGGATTACTTCACCCTATTCCGAAAAGAGATGGACCACTACATACGTATCACGCAGACCATTTGGGGCCGATTCCTTCCACTAATAAGAACTATCAATATATTTTCACGATTGTGGACGATTTTAGCAAATTCACATGGATTTATCCAGTGAAGTCTACTACAGCGAGGGAAGTGATAAATTGTCTAGTTAGGCAGCAAAAGATTTTTGGAAATCCCGACAGAATAATCACAGATAAGGGTTCCGCCTTTACCTCCAGAGAATTTGCTGACTATTGCAAAGATGAACGAATTACACACGTGACCATTACGACCGGTGTGGCACGTGGTAATGGACAAGTTGAAAGAATACATAGGACCATTATTCCGGTACTCACCAAGTTAGCTATTCATGACCCAACGAAATGGAACAAGTACGTTGACAGGGTCCAACGAGCACTGAACTCAACTTATCAGAGAAGCATCAATACTACTCCTTTTGAGGTACTAACAGGTGTCAAGATGAGAACAAAAGAGGACATAAGACTAAAAGACCTTATCGAGGAAGAGGCCAGAAAACAATTTTCCGAAGACAGAGAACAACTAAGAAATAATTGTAAGAAACAATTAGCAAAAATTCAGGAGGAAAACAAGAAAAGCTACAATTTGAGGAGGAGGAAACCAAAGCTTTACAAAGAGGGTGATCTGGTAGCTATCAAAAGAACTCAATTTGGAACGGGACTGAAAGTCCATCGGAAGTTCTTGGGGCCATACGAGATTATCAAGGCAAAGGAGAGTGATAGGTACGATGTTTTGAAGGTCGGAAATCATGATGGACCTATCCGAACAAGTACATGTGCTGAATTCATGAAACCATGGGTAAACGCTGAGTTAGAGTCCGAGACGGACTTATAGTCGGATGGCCGAGTGTGGGAACCCATTTGTTTTTATATATTTTATCTTTTTTTTTTTTTTGCCCGGTACTGTACATAATTATTTAATCAATTAAATAGCGATACTTGAGTGGAAACGCGGGAGGACGTGAGGGCGGCCGGCATTCTGCGACGAGAATCAAATCTGTTGTGACGTATCAAAAAAGGCCGGGGACGCGAATTACAAAAGACGTTAAGATTGCACAATGTTGGTTGGGGTGTCGATGTGTTTTTAGTATTGGTTGTTCTTGTAAATCTATGTAATATCTCAAGTCATCATCTTCGTAACGTTTATAATACTTGCTATTGGAAAATATATATATTCTTTTCCTTCGAAAAGACCCGGTGCAGTTTTATTTCAACAACACTCAATAAAAATCCTACATAAAACATTCCCTCCCCCCTTAAGAAGAATCGAACGCTATCCTAAGATATTAGTTTAAAACCTAGAATGAAACTATAAAATTATTGGTTTATAAGAAAATGTAGAAAGTACTGTAAAATGAAAATACCCAAGAAGTTGTGGATCTACGAGATCTAGTGGGTGCTAAAATTCGACTTTGATTACCAGATAAATTTTTCGTTAGAGACGACATTTCGTGATCTTGAAATGAATCATCCATTTTAGATTCTGAAGTCGCTCTTAGAGTTCTCGAGTTACTTTCAATATTTAAAATGTTTAAACAATTTCTATTTAATGCACTACAGTTACAAGGAAATGTTAATGTTCGTCTGATTTCTGCGACATTTACAAATTACACAAAATATTATTATAAAAACAATAAATAAAGTAAGAGCAGTAGAATAAGTTACAGAATTTCGTATAAAAACATATCTTTTTTCGTGCAATTGTTCGAAAATGTCTTTTAATTTTAGACTGGCGATTCCCAGATCTTCCAGCGAGGATATTGTGGATTTGTAGTTCTGTGATAGATATGGCAATGTGATGTTTTCCAATTTTTTTCTTTCCTCTTCCCCACAACAGTCCTCCAGTACGTTTATGGTCGGAATGAAATTTAAAAGTATGGTTTTGTTCTCGTACGAATAAAAGGGAACCAACTTAGCGTCAGTGCCGTAGCCCATACAGTTCACATTTAACGTTATACTGCCCGTTTTGTACAAATTTACACTTACTAGACTTTTAGCGTTTACACAATTTACCGTTACAGTCTCTTTATCATCGGCGATCACATATAACCACGTATTAATCTTGTTGATACGATGCCAAATATTTTGTTTTAGTTTGGTTATTCTATAGTCACAATATTTAAAAGCGCCTTTCTTATTGTTGTATAGACCGATTTCACAAATTTCCGAATTTAAAGTTAATCGTGCCGGCTATTTTTGCTTGCGTGCCTTATAATACTCAAGTTCATTTTGACTTATCAGAACGAATAATTGTTTAGTTTTATTAATAGCGAGGTGTGATGTGGTAGGCTGAATGAAAATATAGCCGTCTGATGAATCCAGTTTCGATGGCAAATGGTAAAATTTGAAGATGGTAAACTCTTCATCTCGTACTAATGGAATTTTTATGACTATGATGAGGTGCTGATTTACAATAGCGATATCGGTGTACATCGTGGACACCGATATCGTCTACCATCAGAAATTTCTGTGAAATACAAAATACCGTCTGGCATTATTGGGGGCTATAAGTACAAGGACTTCAAAAATTTGCCGGTTTATGATGGTTTATTGCTTTGATGTTTATGAGGCTTTTTGGGACAGATTTGGTGGTTACGGTGGTCGACGATACTTTTAAATGTTATCGAGATTATATAGACATTCGGTTAGCGACTGCAATCACACGCACATGCATTTTTTATTCTCTCTGTTNCTGAGAAGGTCCTTCCGGGACCGATATTGTTTCAAGTTTCGAAAGCTTTTAAGTATTTTAAAAATAACATACGTATAAATTATTTTTCCTGTAGCCTACGGTGTGTTGCTTTTGATACAATTTTTAATTAGGGCTTTTTGTTAATATTTTAAATTTTGACAAGCTTCGCTGTTGATGTAAACGATAAATTAAAAAGGAGTTTATGAAATGCTAACACAGAATAAAAACGGTCTGTATTGGAATCAAAATAATTGTTAAAACTGAATGAACTAAAAACGATAATTCAAATATCGCTTAAACTTGTTTTCGTATTCGATTTTGTGTACTGTCTGTACTCTGTAAAAGGACACAATTAAGGAGTTGGTTCTATTTATTTCCAACACACATTTATGTCAGTTTGTATGCCAAAAGCTAACGTTTTTCGTGATTCTTCCAGTTTGTTTATTAACATTCACATTCGCGTATGTTTGGTTTGAATGGCTTGCAGTGCATGGCCACCTAGAAGCTAGCGAGTTTACAGCTTTATTTACCCTGTAGGATTACCACGTTTGTTTTTATTTTGGACTTCTTCCGTTGAAAACAGAAGCTTGCTCGCTAATGTTGACAACTGGATCTTAATCGTTCTCTAACGTGTATATACCACGAAAGTTAAAACTTTGTCGTTTTTAGAAAACCCGTTTGCTTATTCAACGCACCAGTTTAAAATAAGAGCGCCTTTTTGAACATTGTTTATACTAAAAATCTTCGTCATATTTCTTTTTTTCTAGAATGGCAATATAAAATCTTTGAACTTTTTGCAAAATTGTCAATACGATAATGTCTTACAAACAAACTATACAATTCAGGAGTTTACAGATCCTTCCAAAATGTTTAATTTGACGATGAATTTATACATATATTTTTTTCTGTTCATTCATAATTTTCTAAAAGCCGGATATGTTTGTTAAATGTCGCAATTTATCCCTGTAGTCTCTAATTAAACTTTTAGATCCCATAAAACACAAGATTTGAATTGTTGCCAATTAGAATTATCATAAATTTTCGCTCGTCTACATCTTATGTGTAAGCTCCAAGGTAAGAAAGGAATAGAGTGTAAAATATTCACAAATTACAAAAAAAGGATTATTTGGGACTGTGCTCCGTTACATTGGTTGTATCTACCCGTTTAATTTTGTTCGTTTAGAATACTTTTAATTGCGCGACGACTAGAATGAACCGAGTATGAAATAACGATTTTTAACATTTTTACAGTTCAGTCTAATTCTATTTTAGGATTTTATAAGTACATTTAATTACTTTTCAACATCTGCTTTATGTTAATTATGTTGCAATCTTTTTTTACTTTGTTTCAGCACAAGTCCTAGTCAATTGCAGGAGGTCACGTTGGATCCTGATTCAACAACATTTACGTGTAAGTTTCCTTCTATTTTTAAAATAACAAGTACTTATTAAGGGGTTGTTTGAATATTTACTGGTTGGAGTTATTTGACTTGCGATTTTCTATTATAAAGGAATTGATATTTTGTGTTGTCAAGTTGCAGTTTGCTTTTAAGTTTAATATAGTAAATAATTAATCAGTTAACGTTAATTATCATTAATTGGTTCTCGCACAATAGTTACATAACTGACAAGGGTGAAATCAAAGCTTTGTTCGCGCTTTAAAGGACACCAGACTGTTGTAGGTCCTCTTTTATGGTAATAACAATGCGCTTGGCAGTATTCCACACAGAATGGATTTTGCGACTAATAATTTTCCTATTTTTTTTTAGATATGTGCTTCAGTACATAGCTACTTTAATATTTCGCAATTAAATACGCTATATATTATTATAATCGTTGTATATATACAGGGTGGATGATTGTGTTTAAAAAGTTAGCACGTAGGTTAAAATGCGTGTGGTCAAATTCAAAGAAACTTTCGTTTCTCAAATGCAAAATCTGTATAAAAATTAGAACCTTTTGGGTTCACTAAGACAACTACGTATTTATAACTCACCAACCACAGAAGATAAGGTTCAATAGGATTTTTACCTGTAACAAATAAAAAATAGTTTAATTAACAAACAATTATGTCTTGATATGGTTGTAAATACTAAATATTTGCATAAATCTACGCCTCAAACATATTTTTGATTTTGAATAGTGAAAATGAGGAAAAGTTTTCATTTAATTAAGGAAAAATTCTGTGAAGTGCATATATAGTGTACAATTGTGCGATAAGTGTGGCATGACTAACGAATTTTCCGTCCATATAACAACGTTCCCACTCTAAAATTGTCTAATTAGAAGCAGTTGTTTCAAAGGCTTCTTTTAAGCATTTTTACATACGCTGTACAGAATGTCAGAATTTTTGGCAATTTTCCCGACGAACCAACAGCCGTCAAATGATAAATCTTTTTCTGTATGGCACTCCAAAAAAGCATATTTTCAATGAAACTAACTATTCCTAACAGACATTTTATATACAGGGTGGATACATCGATTTTAATTTAGAATTTTTAGAAAGAGTGCATTTTTTTGAAAAACCACAAATATTGGTAGAAATAAATAATAAAAGGAAATTCTTAATACACTCCACTAAGTAATTTGAATTCCTTCTAAAAGTCTTTACGTATTTTTATAATAGAATTATGAGCCACCTTGTATGAGACTTATGCAGATTTTGTTGCTGTCTATAATTTCTGACGATGTAGACTAAATGCTGACGGCCTAAAATAAATTGTTGGAACATAAACTATTGCACCCTTGCCAATAGAATGCAGTGACGCAAGAGAAAGCAATTAATACGTACTTTTATAAAAAAGGAAATATGTATTATCAGCTGTATTTTCTTAAATAAATAAATAAATAAATAAATAAATGGGAATCGTAAATTAACATTTTGGGAATAGGTGGTGCATAGAAAAATCGATTAGTTGCTAAACACTTTTCCGGTAAATGTGTGTTTACAATCAAAGTCTTATCTTATCAAAATGTTATGTTCTGATATATTAAATGGACAAATGACGGGGTCAATATTCTTTGATTTATCTAGCGTATTATTTAATTATGCCAGCAAAGTTTATCAGTCTATTATTATTATTATTACTGAAAGAAAACACTAAACTGCAAAAATATTATTACGGGATTGATATTTGATATTTTAAAGTTAAGTTGCGGATGATTTGAGAATGCAATTTTGGTTTAATTTTTGTAAGAAATCTTTTTTGGAAAATTCAAAGTGTCCATCGCATTAATGTCCCTCTCCGCCTTCGTCTTCTTATTTCATTAGTCTGATTCACTAATTAAGAACGAATAATGTTTCTTAGGAGTTTATTTTAAGAAAAGTATTTTAGAAGTTGTGTTTCGTAATATTTGAGGTAGTTGGGTGGGTTCTTTTGAGAGCCTTGAACTTTGCTGTTTGGTCAGCAAATGAACTTTTTTTCATAATATATACACGGGGTAACGTTAGATTTTATAATCAATGCCTAATTTTACTCCAATTCGTTAATTTTATTTAATGTGCATCACATCTAGAAAAAAGTAGATCAAGTAAGAAAACCTCAAAACTATGATTTTTCACGGGACAATCAGACATATTTTTGACGTGTATATAAATTCACCTTTTCGAAGTCCATCCCCATTTTTGTCGAAATTATGTTTAAAGTTGATTTACTTCTAAAATTATCACTTTCATAAATTCTTCACGCATCGTTCACAATTCCCATTCAACAGTCGCCATTTGAATAAGTCTAGCTGCCATTAACTGTGTTAGATTAAATTTTTCTACTCGCTACATTGGTCAAGAACAATACATATTCATTTTGCTAATTAAATGGAAAGGGTGAGGCAGAATTGAATGCTGTTGTTCGATCATCTTGTCAATGTTGTTATTTATTTTTTACTTTTTAAAAGTGCAGCATGCTTAAGAAAACTTCTCATGTAATGGAAGGTAGTCAGTTAAATGTCGGTGTGTCGGATTTAACTTGTAATTTATCATCAACCGAATTGGAAGATGATCTTTTTTTTAAAAATTCAGGTAGAAAATAAATTACATTTGTATTCTATAAATAAACACCCCGTAATTAGTGTTCCTCTATATGTTTTTGGGGCTCAATTAAAAAATGTCAATTTTCTTTTTGTTATAGATATGGGGATACAAACCCCGAACGTTGCTGCCGGTAGGTCCGTGAAAGATTTCGAAGAGCAACTGACAAATTTGAGAAAAGAAAATTTCAATCTCAAACTCAGAATTTATTTTTTGGAGGAACGGATGGGGGCTACTTTTAATATTGACAAAGAAAATGCCATAAAAAAGAATATAGAACTTAGCGTAAGTATACATTAAGATTTAATTACCGAACAAAGAGAAAATGTGCCTTTTTTTTCTCATTTAGGTGGAATTAGAATCTCTTCGCAAAGAAGTTGAAGAAAAGCAAGAATTATTATGCCAAGCTGTGAAGGCTATGGAATTGGAAGAAGAAGAACACAAAAAAGATGTTAATGCACGGGACAAGGAAATTGAGAATTTAAAGGAACAGTTGAAAAATTTACATCAGGTAGAATTATTTGTTTAATTGCCTAAAATTTTGCATATAACAGACTTTGTAAAGTATTGATTTTTAATAATAAAAATTGTAGAATTAATGAAGCATTTTTTCCTAATACTTTGTTCATCGTAAACGATTTTTGTCTAAGCTTAAGTTTTTAAAATTTTTACAGAACGCTCAAGTTGCTTTGCAAACCAATGACAGCTTAACAAACGCTGGTAACCAATTAACGCTTTACGCAGCTCATCTTCAACTCGACAATGCCAAAGCCTCTGATATATTACACGACCTCCAAACACAGATATTAGAATTAGAAAAAGCCGTAAGTTTTTTTTACCCTTTATCATTTTGTCAAAGAACAAACTTTATTGTCAGTATTATGTTCGTCTCCACTTTTGATGATCTGACAGATGTGTGTTAAATTATTAACGTGTATAAAATTCGTGTTTTCTAATAACTAAATCATTTTATTATTTATTGACAACAGTTTCACTACTTTGTTTTTTTTATTTTATTAAAATTAATTTAAGTAGTAATCGTTCCTTTTTAACTGAAAGTTTGTATATTTTATTTTGTGTACAGTTAAAAAAGGAGCGTAACAGAGGTGACCATTTAGAACGTCTTTTGGCTGCTGCAGATTGTGAAAGCGTTAGATCGAAAGAGCTCGAAGTAGAGATACGTCGAAAGGACAATAGACTTGCTAGCGTGGAGCAGGAGCTCAAGGATTCGACTTACAAAATTTGTGCATTAGAAGACGAGGTGCACCAGGTACAAAAACAGGCCGCGATAGCCGTCAGCGAGCTCGAAATTAAAACTCGCGAATTAAAAAAGAAAGAACAAGAACTGGCAATTCGCGACAATCAGATGGAAGAGCTGAAGAGAGCGCTGCTGGACGCCGAGGGCCAGATGGACGCAGAACAGCGCAAGACTGAAAAATATCGTTGTTCATTAACGAAACGAAACACTTTGTTGAGTGAAAAAGAAGTTTACATCGAACGTCTAGAGACGAAAGTACGACAGTTGGAGTCTTGTCTTAAAGAGGTTAAAGGGGCGAGCCCTGGGCGAAGGTCGAAATTATTGCACAGTAATAATAATGACGTCGATTCGTTTATTTCAGTGCAATGTTCAACGGCATCTTCAGAACTTTCATCAGCAACAGCACCAACGAAGGACTACTCGTCGCAACAACAACTAACCCCATATAATTCGACCACCTACAACAACCGTCATCATCATTACAATAACAGCCAGCAGTCGTCACAAGAGTACTCTCACCCAATATATTCTGCCGGTGACTTTGTCAGTTCCCCAAATAATTGCTCCTGTAACATTGAAAAGCTCCAACAACAGTTAGAACGGGCGAATGAGGAGATTACCCGTCTAAAAAAGGAGCAATATAAGACAATTAGAATGATAAAATCGATGATAGTAACCCGAAAAGAACATACAGAAGAGATAGAACGCCTGAAAGGTCTCGTGGAAGAAAAAGAACGTGAAATCGATGCGTTACAAGAGAAGATCACGTGCATTGAAAAGAACGGAATGATCGAAACGTCGCCCACAAAGAGTACGGCGGAAAAACCAATCTATAAAAAAATTAATGAACTAAACCTGACGGCCGCGCTTAGTCCAACCGCTAATAATGAGGTACGGTCTTAAAAGTATTCGTAATATTTAACTAGTTGTCGTATTTTACCAGTTTTTAGATAGCAGTAGCCAATTCAGCCAAGTAGTTTCAATTTGTAGGAAGTTTTCTTTCATTATTTTCTAAAATGCTTAAGTCCATTAATATAAAATCCTAATTTTTTTGTTAATTAACACGAAAGGTGCTCTATATTCCTACATAATGGCCTTAATCTAGGATCAATTCTCTTACTTCAATGAATCCACCTACGTTTCATCAATTACCACGATTGCTATTCTCAAGGTAAATGGCGAGGGTGTAAAATCATTCGCTGAGGTTGTGCTGAGACTGAAGCAATCAGAAGAAATGAATTTTACGCTCTTGTTATGCTCACCATGAATACCAACCCTGACAATTGGCAAAACGTCGGACAAATGACTCCATCGGTGGACTCATCGAAGTAAGAAAAATCAATCTGAACCACGCTCACTAAACTCGAATCTTGAGCCCTTGTCAGTTAATTAATACTGCCTGAAATTTTATATTGTAAAGCGTGCAAGATGATAACTTATTGTCTTACATTTTAAAATCTCAAATTCATATGAAATAATAAATTAAAGCACAATTATTTATTGTCCACGTTCCTGCAAATTAAAATCTGGTTTTGAAACATGTAAATATTTTTGCTTTTTTGCTACTTATGCATGCTTCTAGCACGAAATTACTGCTTTGTATTAATTTTACTAACTGCAATAATATAGTAATAGTGTTGAAGGCATTAAAATAAAAAATTCCTTTCAAAATGATCCACATTAAATAAACACTTTGTATCTGTCTGTATACTACGACTGGCACATGTAAACAGAGTTGATTACTATAAAAATTCCTTAAATCATTTGAAAAATAGCAATAATTCAGTTATGTTTCTCCTCTCATTTCATTTATAAAAAATTTACTTAAATTAAAAATAACTGCATTAAATTTGTCTTTTTGAGCAGGTAGAGATGCAGCTGTCTTTAGTGCTACATTCTAAGAATTATTTTTCACTTTTACCTGTGTTAAAAATATCCTACATGTATATTTCAAATTTCCGCGTTTAATAGGCCACAAGAAGGTTTCAGCGGATTCGGTTGAGTTCAGCGTGCGATGTTTGCATGTATGTGTGTTTATTTTTGGATGTCCTCAAATACCTCCCGTCTAGATGCCACATTACACTATACCGTACTCGTCTTTCCTGCAGTGAATTTAACACTTCTACCGTATCCTACATATTACAACAAGCCGCGCCTTTAATTACAACCAGTTCTTTTAAAATTTTCACTGTGATATAGCACAAATTTTTTTCTTTTTCATGCTTAACCCGATTTAGTGAAATGCCTAACCCGTTCTAGTCTTATATCAAAAAGGCAGCATGCTTTCGTGCATTGATTGCTCTGTGCACAGTAGTGAGGTAAATTAAAATTTAGTTATTTAAAGTAGTTGCTTAGTTATAATGTAAATGCATATGTACAAACGTATAACTGCCAAAGTTATAAGTATAAACAGAAAAATTGTTATTTATTAAAAATGACAAAACTTCTTTAAAAAGCGGATTGAAAAAGTACAAATGTTTGTTTGTTGAATTTTAGTTTTGGTGGGAAATAATCACTGCTTTATCGGCGGCTACCCCTTATTTACGAACAAATTGACCTTTCCCCGTCCCCTAACACAAAATAAAATTTGTATGATCCAAAAATGTAGCCCCACTAATTATAATACCGATGATGTACTTGTTTTTAATAATATATTTATACTGAAGTGATGTATTTTGTATTAAACGTTAATAAAGAGCATGCGAATTTTGTTTTGTGTTTTTCTGCTTAGTATTTTTTTGCTGGTTTCTGTGTATGCTTCATTTGGGGGATCGTGGTGACTTGCTGACTGTTGTGCATTTTATGTTTTGACAATAGAAGTACATTTTCTTGTTTTATCGTTTTAATAGAATTCGATGTCAGAAACGGCCGAGGGCACATCACAACTATGTGAACAGTACAAAACTCTGTCTGTTGAACTGGAGAAACAGGTCCAGGTTTGTGTTTTACCGGTAGCAATGAAACATATTTGTTATTAATCTAATTTCTTTTTAATACAGATTCTTCTTGAAACACTCAACCAAAAAGATGCTCAACTGAATAGTTACAAAGCAGAGTGTGAAAGTCAGTTGTCAGAATTGCAAGAAAAGCAAAACCGTATCATTGACTTAGAATTTGAATTGCTTTCTACCACCCAAGAGAAATCTGACGCATCCAATGAAAAAGAATGTAGCTTTTGGAAAAGAGAACTTATGGAAAAGGACAAAGAGATTTCGAGACTAGAAATTGAATTGCGCAAACGTACTGGGGATTTACAGACTATAGTAAACAAGGAATTGTGGGAAAAAAATAGAGAAATAGAAAAGTTACAGAAGAGATACGGAAACGTACTAGAATTAAAAGACAAAGAGATTGTTGAACTTAGAAAGGACATTGAGGATAAAGAGTCGCAACTTACCCTACTCAAAGATAAAATAAGCGAATTAGGAGCTCAAATAACACCAGAGTCGGACCTGCTACCTGTTAAGAACAACGAGAAATTATTTTCTGAAAATAAATCCTTAGAAGAAAGTCTTTATTGCAGTTTGAAAGAACGAAAAGAATTAATTAAACAATCAGAAAATCTTAAACATAATTTAAATAATTCCTTGGAAAATAATAAAAGTGAAGAATTAGCTGCTCTAAAAGACGAACTAGAAAAATGCGAGAAGTTGAGACACGAAAGCCAAGACATTTGTTCCGTATTAAGCACACGCTTGGAAGAATTATGCCAGTTTCTGGATTCCTTATTAAAACAAAAGTCTGTCCTTGGATTTTTAGGGAATAAACAAAAAAGCCACCTTCGTAAAATCATCGATCAAAGCCTTGATCTTTCTCGCACTTTGTCAATAAGCATTTCTCTAAATCCAAATCAAAGCCTCTTACAACTAAGCAACCTCAGTAATTTGTTAGATTTGACGCATGAAACAAACGAATCTATTAATAGTCCTGAAGAAACTTCACTAAGCATTCTTCCAGATGAAGTATCATTAACTTATCAAAGTCATTTAAAGTGCACTAATACAGATAATATGATTAATTCAAGCATTGTAAGTCAACAAGCTGAAATAATAAATATATTACGAGAACAAGTGGAGAATCTCAAGAAAGAAATTGAATTAAGAGATACTGAACTAGAAAATAAAGCAAGAAGCGAAAGAAAAGAACTGAAGAATGATCAGGAATTCGTTGAAGCAGTTATAGATCTACAGTCTTCTTTATCCGAATCCTCCAAACATGTTCCATCACCTCAAAAAATTTTACAAGGACTGTTCCCTTCGAAATCGCCTTTATTGTGTTCAAACGATAAATCTGTTCTTAACACCACGTCTACCACCCTTAAAAATGTTAACACAGAAAATCAATCAGAATCAGAATGTTGGTCAGAACCCGATCGAAAAGTATCTATGCAGAGGATGGGAATTATTGACGATAAGGTTAAAACTGGCTTGAACTCTTCCTTATCTGGTCGCAGAAGTAGATTCAGTTATATGGAATGTCTTTCAACTGAATCCACAGAGGACGAAAGAAATATGAGTTTGTCCAGGACACCATCAAAGAGAAGCACCATAGTCGTTTTACATGAACAGATTTGCGAGCTTGAAGACAAGCTTAGAGACAAAGAAAAACAACTTTTAGCAGTCCAGATTGCTTACTTTGAAACGGAAAAAGTTCTTAATGAGGAAAAGGCTAAGGTACTCAATTACATAAAACAGGAAGAACAGTTGGTGTCCAAAATGAAAAGTACAGAAGATAAGCTTAGAGAAGCTGAGCAAAATTATGAAGCAGCAAATAAAAAATTAGAAGATAACAACTCTGTCATTGCTACTTTAGAACAGTTTAAGTCACAAATGGAAGAGCAACTGAAAATGAAGGATAAAGAAATGCATAATATAATTAATGAACTAGAAAAGGAAAAAGATATGGCTATTAAGGCTGCCGAAGAAGCCGAAAAAATAGCTGACAATGCCAAAATTGATATCAAAAATGCAGAATTGAAACTTTGCGATTTGAAGGACGAGCTTGCACAGATAGAAAACAAAACACGACAAAGCTTAGAGGAAGAATACAAAAATAAACTGAGAAATATCGAAAACGATTTCCAAAGTCGAATGAAATGCTCTGAACAAGAACATCAATCAAAGTTACAATCTCTAGAACACGAATGTGAATCTCAGATAAAATCGATAAGAATGACCATAGCCAGTATTAAAGAAGCTTGTGCCGAAGATCAAAAGCGAAATTCTGACGTAGCTAATGAAACAACAGAAGTAGAGTATATTATGGACGAATTGGAAAGCATAAGAAAATCCATCCGATCTATGAGAGCTAAAGTAAAAGACATGGAGGAAAACGAAGAATTCTATAAAGAAAAAATATTTAAACTGGAGGTTCAAAATGAAGAAAAAATAAAAAATCTTTATATACAACTTGACACTGTAGCACTGCAACACTCAGAAACAATGTTGGAGAAAACAAAGTTGATGAATGAAAAGAATGTTTTGGAACAGGACATTCAAAAATATATCCGCAAAGAAGAAGAATTGATAAGACAAGTTAACGATTTCCAAAGGGAATTTACTGATATACGGCATAGTTTCCAAAAACAACTTAGCTACCTAGAAAACCTCAAAGTATCTCTTGAAGCTAAAGTGACTCAACTCGAATCATCGAATGCAGATCTACGTAGAAGAATTATGAGTAGTGGCAATATCAACGTTCTTGATGACAACACTCTGTCTTATTCTCTTCCGAATAGTCCTACTAAATACGCTGACCTGTATCCCAACAAAACCTTGCCCATTCGTTCTAAAAAAAGTGTTCAATACTTTCGAGAGTTATCGGACACTGCCCCTAGTGACCTGGGCGATACTAAAGGATTTTTTAATGTTGTTCAACTTCAGGCACCGAATGTTATGGAAATGGAGCACGATTCTCGTCATGGAAATTCGTCTCCAGATTTGGGGATAGAAAGCGACCAAGGACGATTTTCTAGTCTCGAGGCAAATGTCAACATTCCTAGACCTTTGTTACCTACTTTAGAACTAACAGAGTCCATGAATAATCTATTGGATAACAGTGTCTCTGTTCAAGACGGTTTTTGTAGTAAGTTTCTAAATTTTTCTACTAATTTTAACTTCTATGGACGACATCTTAATAAAATATTACTAGCAAATACATTTATTTTTTGAGAAAATTAACATTAAATTACTGTTACAGATAATGAAAATTGTATAATGAAAATTAAAGAGATGATGAATGAAAATTCAGAGTTAAAGAAGCGACTACTGAGGACGAGAAGGGCTTTAGAAGAGACGGTGACCCAATTAACACTGGCCAACAAGCGTAAGAAGGAAGTGGAAAAAACGATTTGCAAACAAATTCACAAAACAAGCCAAGTTTTGCGAAAGGCTAAAGCTAATCTTGATTCTGGTTCAGAAACAGAAGTTCTAACTAAAAAGTGAACGTTTATCACTTATTTTGTATGTACATTTACCACCATGTGTCCAGTGACTGATTTGTTTATTTTTTTAATTTTTTAATTCGTTCCTTTTTAATTTGTTTTATTCAACGACTTTTTTATTTAAATAAAGTTGAGAAACTTTTTTGTATAAATTTATTATTTGTAAGTTTACACACGTGTTGTGATGTGATAAGTCTGTCTATAATAATATCTAATTACACACAATTGCCATGT